TGAGATGAACCTGTGTGATTTGTTCCACAAGCGACTTTGACTATAGTCTCTCCAGAAAAGGCGGCTATAGGTCTAGGTCGGGGTTGAGCTTCATAAGCTAGCCTTACAGAGCTATCTTTGGTATTATACTGCATGTTACAGGGCATCCTCAAATCAATCAAAGAAGGCAACAACTCCCAGTTCAAATATAAAGATAACACTGTGTGAATGCCTTTATTACAACAAGTTCCAAATTTATACATCAAGGGTCTTGTCATGGAAGGGGAAAAAAATTATATGGTCTCTCCCAATTTGGTGCATTTAAATTTAGGTTTTCACACTTAATTTTGGAGAAATATTAGACCAGATATCATCAGGAAACAAAAGAGCAATATGAAGTATAAAAGCACTCCACTATGAAGGAGAACAAAACACTGTTTTTATTAGAAATAGGAAAACACTGATTATTTTGTGGAAAATGTGCTATCCACAACACTTATCAACTACATGCTTCAGATTGGCAAGTGGCATAAGTAAAAATAGAATTGGACAAGCAAGGAAACAAGAAATGGAAAAGGCAGACATGACTAATATAAGGTCGTTTGATGCGGCAATAAGCACCCGACATCAGCATGTATGTATCATGTCATGTAATACAGGCAAAAAAATCAATAATAAAAAATAAATAAAGTACTTCAAATAACTATCCTCCAATAATGCTGCACAGACACAAGATAGAGACGTTTGTATCCCTAAACATTTTGCCTCTTTAGTGTACCAATATCTCAAAGCGCGCCTTACTTCATAAAATATAAAAACTTCATGTGCATAAAGCAGGAAGAGATAGAGGTAAGGAAGAAATATAAAAGTCAGTATTGAGAAGTAGGATCTCACGTGGTAAAAGTTTCCACTCTCTATTAGCAAAAAGAACAAGTGCATTATGTTGCAATGGACAAAAAGGCATTGAACAGAATACAAGATAGATTGGAGACGATAACAACTATATTCATCCAATTGCCTGCTAATTGTGATTTCAATTTATGTAGAAGTATCACAAAAGCTGCATCACTATCAATCAAATTGAACAGATGATCTTGTCATGACATATTGTTGCCGGTCAGAAAATATTGCAATTTGAGATTGTTAATTTTTTATACAGTATGTAGAAGTCTAGAACTTCCGATATATAACAATAAAATATTGGAAGTCTTTGTCCATGTCACAGAAGATAAAATAAAAACTTTTTCATGAAGTGTACCTCGTTGTCAGTATTATGACCAAGCTGACCATACTGAGGCAAACCAGCAGTTCTAGAAGACACGAATAACATGAAAATCAGAGTGCAAGAAAAGTTAGAGATGAAAATTCCACTACCAAAATCTTTTTTTTGAGCACAGCATTCAATGTAGTAGAAAGTAAAAACTTTACAAACCATACAATATAGAAGCTCCTTCAACTGAGGTTAGCCACACAGTAAAGTCAGCCCCACAAGCTACAGTGTTGACTTCAGTGACAGCACACCGGACTGGAGATAATTCAGTTTCTGCAACAATACAAAAAAGTGATGATCTTAATTTGTTTTATAAATGAAAGAAAAAACAACCCAAGACAGAAGAAATTAGTGGTGTGGACTTATATTGCTAGGAAATAAAAACGATGTTGCTCAAGGCAAATTCTTGGTTCCATCCTAAACTAGCTTATGTTTTTTTCAATAAGATCCTACACTAGCTTACATAATAATAAATTTCTTGTTCTTCCCTACACTAGATTAGCTTTGTTAAAGGTTTGTTTAAAGCATGCTTAAACCAAGAAACTTGGTGAAAACCAGGTTGTGCCCTTCGCCTCACTTAGTTGGTGCTTTAGTGTAGGTGTCAAGATGCAAAAGCATGTGTTAATGCCAGATAGGTGTAAGTATCCAATACATGTGCATCTAGGTTTTTGGTAACTTTGAATAAATATGATGAATCCACACACTTGTTACTCCCGTTTTGACATGAGTTATAAAAACAAACGAAGGACCCATGTGACCTAGGTCATATCTGAAGAAAAATGCATGATCAAAGAGGGAGATGAAATAATGTTCATGCAACTGAGACAACAACAATTTGAATACTAACAGAAGGTCTTTTCTTTTGGTGCAAGTGAGTCAGAAACAGAGAAGGTAAGGAGCAACAGAGGATAACAAAGGGGCTCACCATTTTTTGCAGAGCCTATACCGAGCTGCCCATGCTTATTCCAACCAAAAGCAAAGGACTGTCCGTCATCTGTAACTACCACTGTGTGGCTCTTTCCAGCTGCAGCTCTAATGATCTTATACCTGGAACAAAAAAGTTTTAAGTGATGCCAGATTTAAATACTTGATAGACATAATGGTTTCAGCAGACATGGGCTAACCATACAGGGAATATAAGAGGAATATTGGAAGCATTTCTTACTTCTAGACACATAAAATCTCAGTTTTGGGTTAAAAATACAAACATTATTGTCCATCAGAATATTCACCATTATAACATTCTTTTCTTTCCATCTCACTTTACATGTACCCTTGAAATATGCATTGCCCCAAGGCTTTGGTCAAGTGAGAAGAGCGCAATGACAATAAAATAAAAAGGTAAGTTCTTTTTCTTAAAAAAAGGGTAAATAAAAATAGAAAGATGGGATCTTGTCTCAATGTTTTCAGTTAAAAGAGAGAATCAAATAACTATAAGCAGAAAAAAGAGGGTGAATTTAGGATTTTAAGTAGTGAATACGGCATAGCTATGCACCCTTTACTCCTTTGTGGTACGGATTTGAACTTAATACATATTTTGAAACTTTTACTACAATATATGTCATTGACATTGATAGAGGAACAAAACCAAGAACAACTTACTTAGATAGTTCTGAAACAACAGTTGGTCTATCACGTGTTATTTTATCTCCATGACCAAGCTGCCCTTTCTGCAAAGCCACAACACACTTCACATTCCAATAAAGAGAAAACAGCACAAAAGAAAAATAAAAAATGAACACACACGACACACTTGCCTCATTCCTTCCCCATGTATAACAACGGCCTTCGGTATCTAGCGCTACACAGTGACAAGAAGCTGCATTTCCACCAAGAATGAAAGAAAGCAATCAAAAAGGGAAATCTTCAATCACATTATGGAAGTGTTTGGCCATGAAAATTGCCAGTATTTGAAAAAAAGAGAGTAGTTTTTGGAGTTGTGTTCAGCCATGAACACAAAATGGAGTTGTTTTTTTAACTTATTTGAGTACTTTGAAGTGAAAACAACTTTTTCATCACTGTTCTTCAAATTCTGGAATTTTATGGCCAAACGTTAACTCATGGCCAAAATGCCCCATAATTTCACAATAAAGATGATAACTTTGTATACTATATGAATCCTCAATATACATTTTAACCATTTCGAGGTCTAAACAAACCAACTAAGTACACAACTAAGCCAAAATAATTTTAAAAAAAACAAGCAGAACAGAGTATACCGCAACCAGCAGCAACAAAACAAATGTCGACACCAACAAGCGGACGAAGCCTCGTCGGCGACACCAAATTCCCCTCCGTCAAACCTTTCCGGCGACCAACAGAATCCCAACAAGTACTTCCACAAAACAACAACTCCCCACCTTTCACCACCACCACTTCCGACATCTCCGGCGAACTCAACGGTCGAAAAATTCAAAAAAAAGTTTCAAAAAAACAGATCTTACTAAACCTCAACGTGAATACACCAAAACCCACAAAAATTAGAGAAAAAAAACAGAGATTTGTAAGTAATCGGCGTCAAAAGGAGTTTTAGAAAGAAAACATCTGAAACCCTACAAAAGCATTGAGAGTTATTAAAAAGAAGATTTGTTTTGTGTATTCCGAGAATGTGAGCTTTTTATTGGTTTAATAATAAAAGATATACATAAATTTTGTGGGTTCAAAATATAAATACGGATTGGTGGAATGGATAATTACTACTAGTACTACTTTTCTTTTTTTCTCTTTGCTTATTTGTGTATTACGTTCGTTTGGCTATAGATTTTAAAGTAAAATTTAAATGTTTAAGTTGTTTTTAGATTATATTTTTGTGAATCTAAACGTTGAATTTTTAAGATTTAATCAAATTTTATAATGAAATTGATATTTAATTGCTAATTTTTTTGATGACAAGGGAAACGCGCAGCCGCTACCTTTTGGGTTATGATAAAATGTTAGAGATTTATAGGATTGTGTGTGGTAAGGTTTAAGGTTCCCGCGGGTTTGGTCTGTTAAAGAATTTCGAGGTATTCTTTATTTGAAAAGAGGGTATATGCTTTTATTTTGTACTCTTTGGTCATTATCCATGTTCTTTTTCTTTTTTTTTGGAATTATCTCTTAGACGTTTTTTTTTGTTAGTTTTTTTTTTTTTTATCAGTTACAACTTACAATGACCATCGTATGACATATTTCATGTTTTTTTTCTTTTTTGTATTAGTTACAACTTAAAATTATTATGAGACATTTTTCATGTGATTAACAACCAAATAAGGCTGCTTGATTAGGTAGTGGGTTTTCAATTGGTTGTTGAAAAAAAAAATATATAATATCTAATCATCTCTTATCTAAAATAATAATTTTGAGTGCATATGTATAAGTCATAGACTCGACTTGTGGAATCAGCTGGTGATGCAACTCTTATTGCAAGATGCTTTGGGCAACTATCTGCTTTTCTACAACTTTGACTACTTTAATTTCTGCATTCTTTATTGAAGATGAAAGGAATGGACAGTGGGAAACAAGACACAAGTATAAGGGGAGACATTGTTTGATTACTATGATCTTTTTGTCTGCTTGTGTTAGTCCCATTGAACCAATGACATGGAGATGTGGCCCAAATTCATACAACTACTTTTTTTGAGTTATAGTCCACACTAAGCTCCCACTATGATCGGAGTTCCAGACCAGAAGGGTTTATTGTATGTAGATGGGGTTTATACTATGCAAGTGCAAATTAACAGCCAGATAAAAAGGCTTAAAGTTCCCTTAGAAGTAGAGAACAGTAGAGGAGAAAACATTGGCACCACAAAATTTGACTCCAATTTATTGATACAGTTATTTCCAAAGAACAAAATAATGATTCACTACATATGGTATAAATTGTAGCCAGACACACATAAGAAACTTATATAAATACTAATATCTGAGAGCTTAGTTTCTCAGTGTTTGTGCGTAGCATGTGAGACCGATAATTGATAATAAACTTTTTGGCTTCACGTAGAGATTATCTTCACCTCCTCAAGGCTTTATGTTCACCCACTAGGCAGATGCAGGTGTTGCTGAAGCCGCAGGTGTTTTACCAACAGATAATTGTTGCATTTGACTCGGCTGTTGACGCTGCATCTGGAACATATTATGCTTTACTGGCGTCTGTTGTGTCATGTTATTAGGCAACCGTCCTTCCTCCCTATGTTCCCCAGCTGCAAGTTTTAGACGTTGGACTTCTGCAGTTAATGCCTCATGCAGAGCTGCAGCGGAAAGCTTAAGTTATGAATATCCATCTTTATGGGTAGGTGTATCAGATGTTCATAGAGTATCAGCATATCTATACGTCTTGAATGTCAAGTATAAAATGCGCTTTGGACCTTGTCCCTGGTCAATCCAAGCAGGCATGACTAGAACAGTATAACTTGTCCTGCCTTCAAGATTAATATAAACGTATCCTAAGGTAATCAAACAAACACAGGCAAACCTGTTCTTGGGAAAATATAATGTTTTTCAAATACCCTTAAGACTTTATGAGCAGAACTGGGGAACACAATAAAATGGGCACTGTTATAGAGAGAACTAAGTAATAAAGACGAACACAAACAGGTCCTGCTGGAACATCTTACTTCTTTGACTGTCGGTGACACAGCATTTGGTAATATTGAAGTTCGGATGCTTTTCAATAGGAGATGCTGATGTTGTGGAACTGTTAAAGAAAATCATGCCTCCTGAGTAGGCCAGCTCGTTACTGGTTAGAATCAAATATTATTACTAAAACAGGTACATCAAATATTTTGGTTCTCTGACTCGGGTTTTTCAGTTCTCAGTGAAGGAAATTAAAATCTTCACATTGCTTACATTTTGATATTTCCAACCAACCAAACATAAGTAACCAAAGAGTTATTGATTGTGCATCAATTTCACATAGCATTGAGTTATTATTGTGAACTTGGATCCCTAATTACTTTTCCATTATCTCATAGGCTTCCCTCACACAAAAAGTATGTTTCCTATTTGGCTTCCTTCAGAGTATTCTTCGCCTATCTTCACAGAACTACAATGGATTTCTACCATCTCTCTCCCCGTCTTCCTTCCAGCAGGCCATAGTCCTTCTCCCCCTATTTTCACCTTTCAAAGGCACTATATGCATTGTAAACTAATTTATTCTTCTCTTTCGCATCTCATATAAAAGTACTTCACGAAACCCATCTACTTAACTATGAGTTCACGGCAACCATTAAAATTCCCTTCCTCCCAAATTCTTCAAACGATGGCAACAAATTCAATATGTACAAGGCTAGAGCCATGAAGCTCAAATCAGGCCAAGTTCCAAACTTTTCTTTTTATAAAACTTAAATTTGCAAAATTCTCTTTCTATAAACTTATTATCCAGCTGTATTCAGTAAACACCTAATTATTTCTAAACTTCTCCAAGTTTTTTTTTGAAATAGGTAAACTTCTCCAAGTTTTATGAATTTGATTTTAAGAGGTTAAAAAAAAATACACATTAGAGTATATTCTAATTTATAAACGATTATACTATGGAACATATTATATTTCATATACTACCCATATGCAAGAACTAGATACCTTTTTGCAACACACTAGGGACTTGGGAAACAAAAGAAAAAAGAAATTGGAAAGGTAATACCATCTCTAAGCTGAGCCTGTTGTTCCATGGCTTGGATGCGGAATTTCAGCTCACTGTTCAGGCTTGAAATCTCAACAAAATTTTTCTGTAACAAGAACGAAAATCCAGTAAACAGACTGAAGTTCATAAAAGAAGCATTGAAGGCACACCACAATATTTTCTACCGGCACCTGCAGGATGGTAACTTGTGTGGATAAGGTAGTTGTTTCTGTCTGTAGCTTTTGAACCTTGTGTTCCAATTCTGAGATGTAACGCGTTTTACGCTCCTTGGATCGAGCAGCAGACAGACGATTAGCCAGTATCCTGAGGATAAAAACTATCAGGTATAATTTGTATACGTATCACGCTCTTTATTTATTTTTTCAATTTTTAATGGATAACTCAAGTTTATGCTTCTTAATGGGATACAAATATAAACTAGAATACATTAGCATCTATTTCCATACCTTTTAGCACGCTTAGGATCTAAAACTGCAATCTCAGCAAGTCTTTCATCTGCCATAATCTTCTTCATCTCAGCTTCACTAAATTCAGCATTTCCGAAGTCAAGATTGTGCTTGCTCGAACTTTCATTTCCTGAATTACTTGGTGAAAGCTGACCAGAACGCATCACCAGAGAAGTTGGTAAGTTTGGTGACTCGTCGCCATAGTGAAAATTTCCAATAGCACTATCCATGGAAAGACTCCTAAAGTGACGTGCAGCTGGAGCAATATTCGCATCAGCGCTCCTCTTGGTTCCTTCCCTTAAACTTGTTGGTTGGATACTAACAGTATTCCCTTTCATAACACTTTCTGCTTCATTATTGCTGCTCTCACAACCGCTTAGCTTTGTCCCACTGACAATGCTGTCCTTATCTCTATCCTCCGTGCCAGAACCGTTCAATGTCTCTATATTTTCCAAATTCATGTAGGAAAACAACAACTCATCTGTAACCTCTCCCTTTGGTTTCCTCTCATCAATCTTTCCATTGCTATCCCCAAGACTCACTGCTCTCCCAAAAATCTTCTGACCACTTATAGGCATCAACAGAGGTGAAGACTGAATCATAGCCGAGAATCCCAATGGAACATCACTATTAGATCGACGATGCCCCTTCCGAGGAGGAAGACCATCCCTCGTAAACGAAGACACAACTCCTAGACCTTGAGAATTCACATCTACTTCCTCCATAGATATATCCTTCAAGCTAGAATGACCCGACACCATCCCCGGCTCACTAGGAGGAAAAGGACTCAATGGGGGCAAACAACTATTCGAGAAAATACTCGATTGAGATAAAGACCTCACATGAGAAGCAGCTCCAACACCAAAATTATGACCACTCATAGGTGGCTTAGAATTAGACTGAGCCATCAAAAATCAACAAATAAACCCGCAAAAAGATTCAATTTTTCCGACACCCCAAATGCTATTTCTTCGTAATAATCAAAGAACTTCAGCAATTCTCATCAAATTAATCAAAATTTCAGCTCCCAGAAAAACCCTAGATAGAAAAACTCCTTAAACCCCAAAAAAAAACTGATTCAACCCAATCCAATTCAACTAATCAATTTCAGCAAGCACAAAACCCCAAACAACAGATGAACGAATAACAAGATTGAGAAAAACAGAGCAAGGAAGAAAACGGAGTACCTGAAAGTTTAGAGTCAAAATTTAAAGGAGCTACAGTTGAATGTGATGAGAGACAAACGTGCAAACATTGATGAAAGTGAAGTTGTGGGGGGTGGGGTTATAGAGAAAAAAAATGGGATTTTGGAGAGAAGGTGAATTTCCCGCTGAAAATGGCGGTGATTACGGTTGAATTTGTAAGAGAAAATGAAAATAACTTGTACTAATATGAAAGAGAAGAGTAGAGGAGAAGTGAAAGGGACAAAAACGTTGTCTTTGCACAACAAACAACATGGATATTTTACTGTGTAATTTTATAAGTGTGGTCTGAAAAGAATGAGATATATGCAAATCTTATTTTTACGAAAGAAAATTATTTGAGATGGTTCAAAATAAATAATTTTTTCAAAGTTAAAAGAGAATTATTAATTTTTTTCTACAAATATCTTTTTTTAGTGATATTTTTATAATTCAAGAATGGTTAAAAAGGTAATTATGAAAAGTATTATTTAATTTGTGCATTTAAATATCTTTTTAAAGATATATGTCATCTCTCATTCGCTTTATATGGATTAGAGAAAATAATATTTACTTCCTTGTCCGTTTTAAAAATAATGAAATAGTTTAATTTGGCACGAAATTTAAGAAAATAGATACTCCTCTCATTCCTATTTATATGTCACTAGTTTATATTTCACGTCGCTTAAGAAATTAGGTATAAATACTCCTCTCATTCCTATTTATATGTCACTAGTTTAGATTTCACACTACTTAAGAAATTAGGTAAGTTTATCATTGTACCTTTATTTAGTTTTTCTTAAAGTCAAATCTTCAATTGAACATGAATTAATTTATTTTGATTAATTAATTTGAACAATGAACATGAATTATTTACTTAGTTTTTCTATATTGGTCAAATATATATATTTTCAAGGCTAATAACTAACTCTCAATGGTAAAATAGGAAGAATAATGTATTTTATACATTGATTTTGTATAATGACAAATATTAAGGATCATCTATTTTAGCCTTTTAGGATAGGACGACGTATAAATAAGAACAAAAGGAATACTCTTTTATGGTCCTTAATTAAATTTATGTCAAATATATCAAATGATATTTAATCTTGTGACCTTTAGCATACTGCAAAAGGCTGAAATTGAAATATTATAAAAAAAGAAAAGGAACATTTAGAAGAAAAAAAACTAAAACGGAAAGTTGGTTATTCTTTTTTAAATGAGGAGAGTAAATAATGATAATAATAATTAAAAAAAAAAAAGTGAAATGAAAAACGATACACAAAATATATATAAAAATATTAATAACGACAAATAATGTAATAATCACAATATAAAAACTAAATAATAATTAAAAAATAAATAAAAGTTTATGAGAATAATGTGTGATCATTAAAAAGGACAAAAACTTTGTATTTTACATAAATAAATTAAAAAATGACGGGCCGTTTTATATCCAAGTGCAACAATGCTACGCGCTACGACAAAATCAGGATTTTCTCCGATGTTGACTTAAAATTTGACATTTTTTATATATTTATACTTTCACAGCAAATATAAAAATCATATTTGTATGTTATAGCTATAATTTGCATAATTGCACTTCATAACAAACATAAATATGTATATTTTCGTTATACATATACAAAAGAAAATAATTGTATATAATTTGTTTCTGTTCCGGTGTACATATACAAAAGATCAACTGTATAATCTGTGTTTGTATAAAGCGAGAAAGAGAGAAAGGCAAAAGAGAACTGGGCAGGGAAATATTTGTATTGTATAATTATAAGTGTATATGACGAAGATATATGTATTTGCACGAGTATATACAATTTTCTCTCGCTTTATACAAACAGAAACGTAATTTATACATTTATGTTTGTATAAGCGAGAGAGGCGAGCGAGATCTGGGAGAGGGGAACGAAAATATATGTATATATACAATTTTCTCTCGCTTTATACAAACACAAATACATTTTATACATTTGCGTTTGTATAAAAGTGAGAGTGGCGAGCGAGATTCACCAGGAGAGATGCGAAATAGCAACAGTTTGATATGAGGTACAATTAAATCAAACTATGTTTATAACATTTAATTTAAATTAATAGTTTGCTATTATATACAATTTTCCCTTTATTTAATTAATCGATATTTTCAGATTTTGGTTCACTAATATGAATTCGTGACATGTAAAACTTGTTAAAGTAAAGTTTCCTATAAAAAAAATTCTAATTATGTTGTTTAAAGCAGTTTGTACGTATCTTGATAAAAAATTTTGGATTATTTATTATCAAATAATTTTGTAAGCTGATGTTGGACAAAAAGGAAAAGAATCACCTAGTAATTTTTTTTTGTCTATGTTGGTAGTTGAATTTGAAGTCTCATGATTTTCTATCTGCTTTATTGATCACTAGATTATCGAATTTGAGATCTCATGATTCTCAACTTACTTTACTGATTATTAGGCATGATTCGTGGATGCAAATGATTCTTTTTCCACCATTCAAGTCATGACTTGTCAAATTTAAATTCGTGTTGTGTATGTGACGTCCATGATGGAGGACGAATAGAAAAGAAGGACTGACAAACTTTTAGATTAGCAATCTTTTGAAAAAGTGATGCATATTACACTTTAGATGAATCACGCATCAAAAATATGTAGCATAAATTTAAATTACACACAAACTCTTTTAGTTCAATAATAATGTAATCCGAGAAACAAATATATATATATATATATATATATATAACTTGTGAAAAGTATATTCCATCCAAAAAAAAAAATTGGTTTCATTTTGATACTCATTTCATTGGCATTTAACAACTTTACTCCACTCAATGGTGTATGAAATTATGCATTTAAAGCCGGCCCAACTCAAAGTTTACTGTGTGGAATCTTTTTTGACTAATTTTGTGGAATATCACTTTTGCCAACTTGAACAATTGTAAAGTCCATCAATCATTGAAATTATCATCATATTTTGTAAGAAAAAAAAAGAGAGAGTGTATTCCACGAGCTAATAAGTCATAGTTTAAATATAAAATTCAAGCTTTTATTGGTTTAGGTACGGAACTCAAGAAAATGAGATAGTTTAAGGGCCTGTTTGGATTGGCTTTTGGCTTATGACTTATAAGCCAAAAGCCAAAAGCTAGGATTTAAAATAAGTGCTTATAAGCACTTTTTAACTTTACCCAAACACTTCAAAATTGCTTAAAAACTATTTTGGCTTAAAATCACCTAAAATAAGTCAATCCAAACAGACACTAACTATGTTTTTTTGCACTTCATTTTAAAAAATAAGTCAATCTAAACAGACTCTCAATTTGTTTGTTTCTTTATTAAACTTCAAACAAGAGAAATTGAGGTATCATTCAACTAGGGAATACTAGTAGCTCGGCTAGTTGGCTACATGATGTTTCCCCTCTATTTTCATTACGAAGATGTATCACATCAGTATCCATCGCTAGTCCACCTGATTTTACTCTATGTAACGCGATGGACGTATACATAAAGATTATATCGAAATGTATCGATATTAGAGGTTATGATATTTCAAAAAGATATCATCAAATCATGAATTTCAACCATTGATGATCTTGAAACTAATAACTATAAACAGAGGCATCATACTAGACATTCAATACATTTAACATCAACGTTGTGCAACCGAAAGTATCCTGAATACAGGCTTCTTTACAGTTATCTCTCGTTGATCCAACTCCGAATCCAGGTGGATGAATTAACCACAGCTAACATTTTAGAACGATGACAAACTTACATAGGGGCTAAAGGAATGTGATGAACGGTAAACATAATATGTAAACGATGTTGAGGTATACCGTCCTAGATTGAAGACTTTGGAAGCATTATTTGATGGTGATGTAGCGATTCGTCCCATGCTTTGCCCAGTTGTTCTTAAGATCAACTGGATTTGATAGATCATGGCCTTCAGCTGCCAGGCGACTAAGCAGCTTGGTGAACGCACTTCCACTCATTTTTCTACCACCAATTCGAGCATGTCGTTTGTTGGGAACAGCTGGTAGAGGATACATCGACAAATTGGTTGTGCAACATGAAGATTGCCAACCTCCATTTCCCCATTTGTAGCAAGGTCTTAAGACTCCGGTGCAGGAACAAACTGGGACTGGCATGGTTGTTTCATCGAAAGCAACTTGGTTGAGCCCGAGGTCCTGATCCTTCCAGTCGGGTTTTGACACAGCTAACTGTCTGTTAAGGTCATCGCTTGCCCCGACCATCTCTTGTGCACCCTTCCACTCCGGAGACTTGCCATATGTTGTTTGGTTAAGATCTTCAGTTTCCCTTTTTACTTTCTTTGATGCTTTTGGAGTCTTCTTGGAACCTGTCACTGCCTTTGGCTCCTTAGCTCTTTTGTTTCGACGGGGCTTTGCTGGCTCCGGAGCAGGTGGGGAAACTGGTATGGCTTCAACCATGTGCATTTCTCTGGGGTTATATGTTGGTTCTCCCATATGTGGCTGGTGATGTACATGTTGCTGAGGATGGTGCATATGTTTCACTCCACGGACAATCTGACCACCAGTCATAGCATTTTCACGATACTGAAGTGTAGCAATGGCATTATCCCGTTCCATGATGGCATTATTTCGTTCTGCTATTGCCGAATCCCGCTGCAGGATAGCCATGTCACGCTCTGCCAAGGCAGCCTTTTTTTCAGAAAGGGCCAGATTCCTCTCTTGTATGGCAGCATCTCTTTCTGCCATGATGGCCATTATCTGCTTCATTGATGGCTGATGCTGCATCAACCACTGATACATGGAAAATTTAGCACTTTTGACACGAAGCATAGACATATATATATGTGAAAATCCCGAACGTTTCAATAGAACAGTACATTTTGAACCCGTAACTAACATAAAGGTTGAAACCATCAAGTTTAAATTGAGGATCCACCTTTGTTTACAACACATGGGAATCGTACTTAAGATCCAAATTAAGAAACTAGACTTGAGCAATCAACCTCAACTCCTGCTACATACCTGACCCTGAGGCGGTTTATGCCTTCCATTATCGCGATTCCCACTGTCATCCATACGATATATGCAGGTAGTTATTGTCAAAATAAGCGTCAGCCCTCAATCCAACAGAACTGACATATACTCATCAAGAAAAAACCAACACCTGTAGCCAAAAGTTAGATAATCAAATAGGTCACAGCTTCTTCATGGAAGGACAGTGTCCCTGAATACCCAACACAGAAATTGAAGTGCAGAAAGTAAATGACACAACTATCTTTAAGGGATCTTCACACAAATAGCCGGGCAGATTTACTGTTTACTTTATCTAGCTGATATACATTGATTATTCACGATCATACACATATATACGTGAATTATATTGTACACTATATTATACATCTGCAGCCTATTTTTAGTTTAGTCAGTTGGGTGAATGGCTATTTAGTTAATTCTTATATTTTATAGTAGTTGTGTCCTGGTGTTGTACCTACATCTAGTTTTCCTTGGGTTACAAGGGTTCCATTAGATCTTTCAGATTCAAGTTGATTACAACCACGACGGTTTTCTTGCGCTCACCACGAATGTCTACAACTTTGGTTTTTTCTCGTTAACCAACAATGATGATCAACACAACCGCTCAATTTCTCCTTTTCTCTCTATCTTATCTAGGAAAGCCCGGTCCACAAAGCATCTCGCATTCATGTTCGGTCCAGAGAAGGACCGCACCACAAGGGTTGTGATGTAGATAGTCTAACCTAATAGAAATATTAGTAGTTGCTTCCACGGCTCGAACACGTGACCTATAGGTCACACAAAGACAACTACCATTGCTCCTAGGTTCCCCTTTTTCTCCATATTATACAACATCATAGCCTATATAATCCCACAAGTGGGTTTTGGGGAGGGTAGAGTGTAAATAGGCGTAGCGTCCGTAGGCGTTACCCCTACCTTGACAAATAGAGAGGTTGTTTTAGATAGAACCTCGGCTCAATGGAAAAGCATATCAAAGCAGATCGACCTTTCTCAAATAATTAAAGAACACATGAGCAGAAAGAATCAAGAGTCAAAGCCTTCACCTTTAAATGCTCTTAACAAAAGAAATAAGGGAAATATAAGAGTTGCCAAAAAGGGAAAAAATCCAGCATAATTAATCCATTACATTTCACGAAGCATGCACATATATGAGCTTTGAGTGAATAAATGAATCAATATGACAAACTTACCAACTACCAACAGTTCAAATCTGCATTCTCTTAGTCAAGGCTGAATCATAAAGAACCTGAAAGACAAGCACTCATCATTAGCACCGTCGACCCTAAAGAAACATAAGGAAGCAGAGATGAGAAAAGAACACAAGATTTGTAATGCTTTGGTCATGTTAGAAATACACATATGTTGTTCCATTAGACACCGGACATTAGAATAATCCCGAACTTCATATAAAAAAACACCATCCCAAAAGAGGAAAATAAAAGCACATATTAGTTACGACTTATGGAAAGCTAAGGCAATCACAGGAGCAGATTTCAACAGATTGGCAAGACATAAAACGTGTAAAGTTAAATTCATAGGAGTTGCTGAAAGGAAGAACAAATATGAATAAGCTAATCCCGGATGAGAGTATGGTGTAAAGTGGAGACCAGAAAATTGCCAATAAGCCTGTGATCTAAAAAGCCATTGGAAGATTTTGGCACATTAAACCAGCATGATTAACTCGTTCTATTGTGCTAAGAAGATATCACCCCAATTATGTACAAGTTCAAAACTATTGTTGGTGCTAAGTTATCTAATTTGCATGGAAAGAATATGTATTTAAAGAAAAAGGGAAGAAGCTTAGCTGTTTCATCTAGTCAGTTTCATCAGTAAGACGAAAACTGATTTCAAGATAAAATCCAAGCTAAAATACAGATTGAAAAAAGAGAATTTATGCAATATTCACTTCTGAAACAACATTGCACCATAACTCATAATTCTTGATTGATTGAGACAAAATGATTACATAAATACAGCTTAATTCCATATCAGACTATCAAGGGCCAGTACGAAAAAATGGAAGCTCCATGTTGCCAATTTGGTATGATAATCTTGTAAATGGCAAACTCTTAAAGAGTTGAGATAATCTTGCAAATGGCACTTTCTTAAATGAGTGTGGTCTCTTCATCGAAAACATGAATGATCAATTCGGACATATTGCAGTTTCTACAACATGTTCCTCCTGACTGGAACTAAGTGGCAGGTCTATTTACAATAATAAGTATCTTCCTCATGCTAAAAACTTGCAATAAGATGGACAAAATCAGTAGTCATTAGTTATCTTCCAGTCATCGAGAAATTCTGCTTCAGGATAAACTTGAACAACAAAATACTTATACCAACGCTAATCAATAGCCTCAAAAATTTCATTATAAGATGCAATTTAACCTAAAGAGTAGCTCATAAACACCCCC